ATAAGTTAAGTATAAAAATGAGTTATCTGAGTAAATATTGAAAGTGAAAAAATTGTTAATTCATAGATGACTAAACTAAGTTAAAGTAATGTTTGCTCGTAATTATAACTATAATAAAAGTAAAAATGTATTGTTTTCTTATGGAACACACTGTATATTATATCACTAAATAATTAGGCTCATCTCACTAATATCGAATAGGTGTATATAGTTTATTTTACTTTTTTTAAAAATCTAAGCAAAAAAAACTTCAAAGTAAAATTTCAATTTTACGTGTACGCTATGGATGCAAAAATGCGATTCCAATAATTGTTCGGATACCTCGCAAGATTATTGTCAACCTGGCTGAATTAGAATGCAATGTGTCGAAGATTTGCTGAAAAATGTTGCAAAAATCTATACAACTTTGAAAAAAATACAAGTTTCATCCTTTTAAGTCGATAAGGGTCTAACATTTAACCTAAGCTAATAAACAAGAACATTTGACACTATGCAGAACTATGTATAAAAACTAGAAACGGATTCAAATTTCTCTTATATAATATTGTGGTTATGAATCCTGTTTTAACACTGCAGAATTCCAAATAGGAAAAACCTTCAAAACCGACAATCCCGAAAAAGATTTTTGAAGTGACCATTCTGACCGCCGATCTGTAAACGTACGGTGTGGGATAAAAAAGAATAAAACCGTGGTTTTTTATCCGTTTCTTTAACCGTTCGCTGGCCAGTGATCTCTATCGTGCCTAACTACAGAACGACATTGAAGATTTAATTGATGAATCACCTTTAAATTAAGCGCAAGAAATTGGTCTTCAACAAGATGGGGAACCACTCCATAATGTTGGCTTAGTAACATTTTTTTTAAATGAAAGATATGATAGAAAAATGAAAAACCCTGGATTGGAAAACGTGGAACAATAGGTGACTGCCGAACAGTCCAACGTCCATCCCTCCACCTCCTCTGCGGGGTGGGGGTAAGTTCAGTTTTTTAAATGGAAACCCATATTTTTTATTCGCGGATGGTGTTCTCCGATAAAAAATGAACATCTTTTGTTCGAAAAATTTTTTTTGTCCAAGTTCATTCTTGCCCAATAAAAACTGTGCGCAAATTAACTTCCCCTTCGGGAAACCCTCTGGTTTTCTCTTTTGCACCGAAAAGTTGCGAGAGAAAAAGTCGTTTGTATTCGAGGGGGAAAACGTTTGTACATCAAACCACCCCCACCCTCCAACTCCTTAGCGGGGGTGCGGGGTGAGTTTGAATTTTCAAATGAAAACCCCTATTTGTTATTAGCGCATATTGTTGTTAGCTGGAAAGCGAACATCGTGTGTCTCTTTTTTTCTTGTTCAGGCCCATCCTTTATTAATAATCCCCATGAGATAGCCGAAATCAAAACCTAAATAACTAAATTGTTCTGTTCACGGTGATTTTTGAGACGAGACCTCGATCGATTCGGAAAATGTGATTGAACAGATCTCGTACTTGGTTGCAAGATCGCTGCTAATTTCCCCAACCTCGCATCATCAAGAGAGATCTGCTCTCCTCTTCGGCTGTTTATGGCAAATATTGGGCAAGAATGAACTTGAACAAAAAAAAATTCAAATAAAAGATGTTCATTTTTTAGCGGAGAACACCATTCGCGAATAAAAAATATGGGTTTCCATTTAAAAAACTGAACTTACCCCCACCTCCGCAGAGAAGGTGGAGGGGTGGGGGTGGTTTAAATTGCAAACTATTCCCCCTTTTGAAACCAAACAACTTTTCCCTTTGACATTTTTCGCTGCGATGCGTTGCAACAGAGTTATTCCGGGGTACCGACTTTTTTTCAACACCGTGTATATAAAAAAAAACTGATCATTCCTACCTTACAACTTTTGTATTTAACATTTTTTTATAAAGGGTGATTCAAATTGAGTTTCCACATTACAATCTAAAATATTTTTGATACGCCACTGTATTTGTCAACGGTAACGTCAGATTTGTAAACTAGAAACATAAACAAAAATAGTCATGGAGCAATATACCACCGAACAACGTGTTAAAATTCTCCAAGCCTGTTATGAAAATGACCGATCGAGGAAACGTGCATTTCGTGCTTTACGTGAATATTTTGGCGCGCAAAATCGACCTTCTGAGAAGACAATTTGGAATGTGGCCAAAAAATTCGAGCAAACTGGATCCGTAGCTAACATCAAAACCCCTCGGCATGCTCGTAGAGGTCGTTCGGAACAAAATATTGCCATTGTTCGCGAAAGTGTGACCGAAAATCCAAATACATCGATTCGTCATCGATCGCAGCAAGTGGGTCTTACGTATTCTATTACACAGTGAATTTTAACAAAAAGATTTGCAGTTACACCCATACAAACTCCAAATAACACAGGAATTGAAGCCTCGAGACCATCAACAGCGCCGTGTGTTTGCAGAATGGGTACGAGAACAAGGTGTAAATTTTGGAATGAAAATCATCTTTAGCGATGAGGCACATTTTCACGTTGGTGGCTTCGTAAACAAGAACAATTGCCGCATTTGGGGAGTGGAAAATCCAAGAGAGTTGTTCAAACGGCAATGCATCCTCAAAAGGTGACTGTTTGGTGTGCTTTTTGGTCCGGAGGCGTAATTGGCCCATTTTTTTTCGAGGATCATGCGGAGAACGCTGTTACGATTACTGGCGTTCGTTATCGGAACACGATAACAGATTTTTTCTGGGAGCAGTTGGAAGTTATGGACATCGAAGATCTCTGGTTTCAACAGGACTATGCCACCTGCCACACAGCAGGAGAAACAATATAATTACTGCGCGGCAAGTTCCAGGTCGCATTATTTCACGTAACGGCGACATCAATTGGCCACCGCGCTCATGTGATTTAACCCCCGCAGATTTTTTTCTTTGGGGGGGTATCTGAAAAGCAGAGAGTACAAGAATAAACCGAACACCATTGCAGATCTGAAACAGGAGATTAGACGCGAAATAGCCGGCATAGAACCTGATTTGTGCCGCAGAGTAATCGAAAATTTTCAAAAACAGATTACGTCATGCCACGTGAGCCGCAGCGGTCATTTACATGATATCATCCTTCATGCATAATTGTAATGAACTAACCTCAAAGGGAAAATAAATATTGTTTATATTTTTCAACTTCTCCGTGTTCTTTTTAATACCTTTTATGTGGAAATCCAAATTGAATCACCTTTTATAAAGCAAAATAAAAAAGTTAAGGGGGGGGGGGGGCATTTATACTGAAACACCCGGTACATAAAAAATTGCTGCTTTTGAAATTGAGGCAACAATATGCAGCAACTATGCATGGGAATCTTTTTTTTTTGGCAGCGTTTCATTGCCTCTTGCCAAGGTCATCAAATCTCCTCGTAGGTACATACCTTTCTGCCCGCCTTGTTGTTGTGCAGGTTCATGAGGCTCCTCTCGTCGCCTTCCAGCTCCCTAGCGTCTAAGAACTTCCTCGCGAACCGCACGCCGTAGTTGACGTCTACGCTGCACCCGCCCCACTTCCAGCCGTTGGGCGCGGAGTCGCGCGGCCTGGGGCCCGCATCGCAGCCGCAGGCGGAGATGTTGCCGCGGGCGCAGGCCGCCGTCACGGCGTACGCGACGCCGGCGCTGCTGATGGCGGTACGTGAACGCAGCCTCCCGGGAACCTGGAAAAGAGACCAAAAGGCTATGCGTTAGTAAAGTCCAACGTTATTAGACACTATACGAGGTGTGTAAAGTAATGAAACTGGCAAAAAAGTAAATGTTTGAACTAGTTAGATTCATTTGTTTGTTCTTTGTGTTTTCGTAAACCTTTTTTTCCGGTGCGTTTTAAAAATGAGTAACATTAACTTTGAGCAACGGTGTGCTAGGAGGTTGTGCTTCAGACTTGGACACAGCACAACGGATACTTTTGCAAAACCTCAACACACCTACGGAGACAGTGTTTTTTCAAGAGCCCAGGTTTTTCTGTCTTTCCAGCGGAAGGCCTTCATCTTCAAGAGCCGATGAAAATGTCGATAGAATACGGGATCGTCGGTTGACGACAAGAATGATCGGGGAAGAGTTAAATTTGAATCACACCGCTGTTCATCAGATTTTGATTTACGATCTTGGGATGAGAAAAATCTGCGCAAAAATGGTTGCAAAAAACCTTTCGCAGGAACAAAAGGACATTAGGAGAGAAAGGTGTCTTGACTTTTTGGAATCGATTGAAAATGATCCCCATTTTATGGAACGTGTCATTACTGATGATGAGACTTGGGTGTTTGAGTACGACCCGGAAACCAAGCGCCAAAGCATTGCACACTTCAAGCTCTCCAAGACCCAAAAAAGCAAGAATGAGCAAGTCGAAGATCAAACGCATGCTGATTTGTTTTTTTTGATAGACAGGGAATTGGCCACAAAGAATTTGTGCCTCCAGGCCAAATATGTAGTAAATCAACACTTTTACAGAGAAGTTTTTGAAAAACTTCGAAAAAGGGTCATGCATGTGAGACCAAACATCAAGAACAACTGGGTGTTGCATCACGACAATGCGCCTTGTCACACAGCCATTTCAATAAATGAGTTTTTAGCCAGTAAAAACATTCATGTGGCTCTTCAGCCGCCTTATTCGCCTGACTTTTTTCTCTTCCTGAGATTGAAAAATCACCTCAAGGGACGTGATTTTGAGACCATAGAGAACATTCAAATGGCTGTAACCGACCAGCTGAAGGCTATTCCAGTTTATGAGTTCCAGTACTGCTATGAGGAATGAAAGAACCGTCTCCAGCGCTGTGTGGTTTCCCAAGGAAGTTATTTTGAAGAAGACAATACTGAATTGTAATTCCATTCGAATAAAAATATTTAAAAAAAATCAGTCTCAATACATAATTTACATACCTTGTAAATAAATAATAAATCACACCACAGAAATTGAATTTCTCCTTCTAAGAGTCATTACGACTGTGCAGAGGGAGAATACACATCAAAAAGACGTAGGACACACAACCAAACCCTGTGCCAGGTGCCAATTGCCACAAGTGGGATTCGAACCCGCGCAGATAATAGCTCTCGGAGTAATTGCCATCTTCTCACCTTTTACCCACTGAGTTATCGTCACGGCAGAAGAGTAGAAGCGAGAAAGATTTCTCGATCTTCGTCATCCGCCGCCAACAGCCACAAATCTAGATTTCGATCTCAGAAGGTCTCATCTCAACGTGACATACAGTAGTGCAAGCTTGATAATCCGAATGCTCAGTAATCCGACACTTTCCAACAATCTAGTAGAACCCTATAATCCGACACGTAACATACTGATATGCTCGATAATCCCACAACAAGACACCTGTGTTTTTTTTTAATGAAATTTCTCAGAACTTCCCTACATAAACTGCTCTTCAAAATTAGCGAACACTTTTTAGATTAGCGCTTTGCTTTCTATTTGCTTTCTATTCGGATTGAGACTTGCGATTTTTATTCAGAGACCTCAAATTTCCTTTTGCGTCTCATCGCCCCCTTTTTAACGTCTTCCAAAGCAATTTTGGGTGAATGAAAGTTCTTGAAAGAAGGGTCGTTGGGTAGATACAATATTCCTTTGCACATGTGTGAAAAGGGTTGGGTGAGGGTTGATGTGGGGACGACCTGGAACGGCGCATGAGTTGTCAAAGGCTCAAAGCGAGTTGTGGCATCCGAGATCAATTTATTGGGCAGCATTAGGATCTATGGAGTCACCTAACAGAGACCAGAGTATGCAAAGCCCAGTACCTACAGACTTTCCTAGGAAATCCGATCTGTTATTTCTTAGGGGAGGTACCCCAAAAGGTGTGCGAATGCTTTCTCCCTTAGCCTCCCAATTTCTCCTTCGTTTCTTGTTGTGGTCGAATTAACGAACACAATTTTCCTATTAAAAATCTGATCGATTCAAGAAATAATTTTGGGAGAAATGAGATTAACTGCGAACTGGGATTTCGCGTTTTTAACAATCGATTTGGAGATGAAGAAAGCTTTCTAAATATCGACAAATATATGATTTTGGGGTAAAATTTCCCGTACAACAGTGCAACAATTTAATCTTATAAAAAAACAGCATTTTGTTATAAAAAAAATTATTTTGCAAAAATTGTTATTGTTAAATAAAAAAAAAAACAAAAAAAAATCGTTTTTTTAAATTTTTTTATTAAACTGAACAAAACCAATGCGATTTGTTAGTTAAATTTACCCTTTTTTGAGAAAAAAAAGGTACAATTTGATTTAATTATTTTAAATATTTTTCCCGCGCTTCCGAAGTTACTATATTTTTGAAAGGGGAATTTAGGTGCATATCGGCTTTTGGAGTGAAGATATGATAATGAAAGTAACAAATAACAATAAAATACACTGAATTAATTTATTTATATAATAAACATGATCTTACATAATACAAAAAAAAATTATTGTTCGAAAAAATGTTCGCACTCGACGCAAACAGCTGCACGATGCTCATCACACATTCTGCGCATACAATTTGGGTATTCCATGCGTGTTCATCCTGATGCATCGCTATCTCAAAAGTTACATTTTGCCCCTGTATTCTCTCTGATAACCGACAATACTTGTGGTGCATTCAAAATTAAAAATTCAAAAACAATTTTTTTTGAATTTCTAACAATCTACACTCACTAACCGTAGACGGGTGCGAATTCGCACCAACTCGAACTTTATAACTTGCTGCTTCGGCTGCTACCTTTCAAATGAGAGCGTACTCAACGACAATAGACACTAGAGGGGTCACACATATTTGTCGTGGGGGGATTGACCTTGTGAAAGTAACTGCATGAAATGCCAGCAACTTGAAATTTTTGGCGGTGCGAATTCGCACCCGTGTACGTTAAGAGGGTTAACATTACTCCTCATCTAGAGAAAGTTTTCGGTTCTATTCGAAAAAGATGTCAGAAATGTTTAGGACTACGCCATGGGGGCATTTTCAACATTTTTTTGTAAAAAATAATTATTTTGAACTTTTTAAAATCTTTTTATCAATATGTATATTTTTATCCTATTTCGTTTTGCAATTAACTCATATTAAAGGCAAAAAATAATGAAAAAAAGTTGCTGGGACTTTAATCCAGAAAATGATTGATTGATTCAAAAGCTAAATTTTAACCATTACACCAAATTATCTATAGCTCAAGATATAAAAAATTTACATCTTTCTGCAAAATTTCCCCAACACGGGTTTCCAGATAAGGAAAAAATATCTAATTGTAAAAAAAACGTGATCAATTTATAAGATCTGGGAAGAAATATGGCCTGCGTGTTCACGTCTTACCACTGTGGGCATTTATTTTGTAAAAAATCGCGCAGTGGGTGTGACTATTAAATGGAATATTAAGCTTGCGCCTTGTGCATGTAGTGCATATATACACTTGCTCGATTTAATGCACTTTAATCATGCACCAAGCCCAATACGTACGTTTCGATGAATAAAATATTTTGTCGTGATCGTGAACCCACAATATAAAGCATATCATGTCAAACATTGGGCACAATTATATCCATTAACATACAATCTGAAACTACAAAGAAGACTTTTGCTATAAATAAGTCACACTTTTCAAACGTGACTAAAATATCTATTCACTATTCATACATTTCTATTTTATTTAAGTTCAGTCTCATATAATAGACACGGAAATCATAATTTATTAGTTGAAGAATAAAAGGTATTACTATAGTACAAGTATAGTCCAATCGACAAGTAGTGAAATGAGTAGTGCATTTAGTCAGTTTTTAGTGGGTTGTACACCCTTAAAAAAGAAGAAGATATTTTTCAAACATCATTTAGAACATCACAACATTTTTGAAGACATTGAAATAAACTGCTTCGTCAACATTAGCGGTACACTTTTTAGATTAGCGTCATTTGCGTTCTATTTAAGTTAAAGACTTTTTTAAAGCGGTTTATAATCTTCGGTAGCCTATAGGGTTGGTTTGAATATCCCAAAGGCTCTACGTTTTAACTTAAACGGTTCGATGTGCACACCCCAAAAACCAACCCCATGTCGAAATTTGATTTCGCAAGATTTTGACAGAACTTATTGAATTTCAGAAGGAGGCTGTTGGGTAAAAATTCCATCTCAGCACAAATTAAGAAGAAAGAAACAAAGTATTTGGTCGCTGTCCCATTTCTTTAGCCCATTTCTACCTCCTAAGCCACCCCTTTGCATTTACGTAGGGTTTTGCGTGGTTTGACCTCTGTTGGGCAAATCCATTGATCTTAATGCTGCCTACTAAATTGGTGTGAGGTACCACAACTCGCTTTCACTCCTTGAGAACTCAAGCACTTGAGAAGTGGGATGTCTGTTTGTCTCGAATCCACGTCATGACATTACTAGAAGGCCTTGAAGTTGATGGGACCCACTGTGAACGGTCGATTGAGTGCCAAATGTGATATTCCATCTCCAACCCACCCCCTGAAAATTTGTAGCGCTGAGGGATGAGAGTGGGATGCCTCTGAACATATTCCTGAAGATGCTTGAACCTTTTTCGACCCACCCCGAATCGTTTGTCTCCTTCAAATCCTTTTTTGCGTTCCATCGTGCTCTTTTTTGACTCCCTTCAAAAAAATGTTGAGTGGATGAAAATTCCTGAAAAAAGGCTTGTTGGGCGAAATCTTCTTTTGCACTTGTGTGAATCAACGATCGCCAAATTCGCGACATATGGTTGGTATGCGCGATAGGTGTTCACTGTGACTTAAACATACTCTCGCTCGTAAAATTAGTGGAACAAGGTGTTGTTTGGGTGGTCTGTCGCGTAGGTGCTAGTCTAGTTGAGGGTTCACTGGTTAGCTCAAATCACAGTGAACACTTGTTGCGTGCACCAAGCATCTGTCGCGAATTTGGCGATTGTCTTTTCACACAAGTGGAAAGTAAGGTTCCGCCTACCTAATGAGTCCTCTTTCAGGAATTTTCATCCACTAAAAAAAGTTTTGGAAGTGGTCAAAAAAGAGGGTGATGGGACGCACAAGAGAATTTGAAGGAGATGGACGACTCGAGGTGTGCCAAAAAGAGTTCATGCATCCTCATGCATCCTTCAATCGGCCATCCGCAGTGTGTTCCGAAAACTTCTAGAGCCTTAAAGTAATGCAATGACATGAATTTGAGACAAAACGACATCCCAAGCAGCCTTCTACAGGTGTGGAACCAGAGGGGGTGAGTGGGGGTCGTTGTGGTCTGGAAGGGTGCTTGAATTGTCAAAGGGTGAAAGTTAGTTGGGGCACTTCACACCAATTTATTAGGCAGCACTCGGATCGATGGATTCGCCTAACAAACGAAGTCAAACCATGCAAAACCCTGCATAAATGCAAAGGGGTGGCTTAAGGGGAAAATGGGTTGAAGAGATGGGACAGCCACCAAATACACAGAACTTATTGAGGATGTCTTAATGTGTGCCGGGATGGAGTTTTTTACCACACAGCGTCCGTCTTAGTCGAACCTGTAGGTCTCTGAAATTACCTTCAAAATCTTGCGAATTAAAATTTCGATATGAGGCTTTTATGATATGACGGGGTGTGGATGACAAACCATTTAAATCACAGCATTAAAACCAACCCAAGTCTCTAACTCGAATAGAACGCAAATGGCGCAAATCTAAAAAGTGTTAAGCTAATTTTGACGAGTAGTATATTTCGAACGTCTTAGTTGAGATACATATGGACAATAGTTATTAATGTGACTTAAAATTAAGGAGCAGATTTCAAATATTACATAAATATATATTACGCTATTTAAAATAAGGAAGTTAGTATTCACTTCCGGATATACCGGAAATGATAAAAAGTTGCAATTATTTTAGATTTTAGACATTGAAAATATCCGGATGCAGAGGAGGGTGTTGAAAGAATGCGAATATTGACCCCTTTCGGTAGATTAATTAACCTTAAAAATTTGTTATACAGGTTCCTAAGTAATAGGAAATGTAAATTGTTTGCCCTGAAAGTGAATGGAAATATTGCTGGAATGATTCAAATATACATGAAAGTGTTATCACCACGTTTCATGATAATATATCATCCATTGAAACAAGTCAACAGTCATTCTCATTGAATAATTAGCATGTCGGCTAGTTCAATCGAAAAACTCAACT